TTTTAGGTGTTTTTTTTTATATATATATTTTTGGTATTTAGTGAATTTTTTAAAGATGTTGCAGGATGTTACAAGTAATGTCTGTCAATAAGAATACTCTGATGACTAACTCAAATGATTCGTTTTCTTTTATAAATGCATGTTAATGTTATGGCTATTAAGGGTTTATTTTGAGGGTGTTACAGAATATAAAAACGCAAAATTTTCAGAAAATTGTTTTCTGAAAACCAAAACCAAGCAAAGTGAGATGTTGTTTTGAAAAAGTTGAAAAAGCTGAATTTTTTTTTTTTAATGCAAAATTGAAAATTTTGTGTCTATAAATGAGTATGGTGATGGAACATTGATATGCAAAATTGGAAAAAGAATGAAAAATAAAAAAACTGATAATGTTCTCAGTTTTAAAACTGAAAAAAAAAATGGGCGCTGCAAATATTGCCTCTGCAACTTAGTTGCTTCGATTTTTTCTCCTTCCCTCAGTAACTCCAGATGGTTGTAGTACCGACATTGCTTGGAATGGCGGTGGCACTGAAGATACTTGGAATGGCAGCGCTGAAGCAAAGTGCCTCAGTAACTTTCCCGTTGCATATGTTCCTTTTGAAACTTCACCGCTGTAGGTGTTGCCTCTGCAACTTGACTTGAGCATTTTTCTTCGTGGAGTCCATTTGGAGTCCTGACGGGTCGAACCTACTTCGACTCACTGTTGGCCCACTTCTCTTGGGCTTTGGCCCATACTCTTTTTTATTCCCAGCCGCCTCTTTGGGGCGACCTCAGTGCTTAGGCCCATACTTAGTTTAGGTTTTAATTTCTGACCCTCTACACAACTCAATGTAACTATAATTTCATGATCATTTTTTTAATTTTATTTTTAAAGATTCAATGAACAAAATGCATATAATGTACACTTGTTTTGAATATATATAGTAAACTTTTCTGAAATTGATTTTGGCCTTCGTATTTATCAATTGCCTAATATATATTAACATAGAAATATGAATTTTTCTTTGTAATAAAATTACTCTATTTCCTAAAATCCCAATAATCTATTTTTGTTTGAAAAATAACATTTTTCATCGAATGTAATTTAATTTTTTTATTTTATAGATGTCCATCTAACACTACAAGAAAATTGACCTATAACCACGCTTTTGTTACGGCGTTTTTTTAAAAAACGTTGTTGTAAACATTTTCAAAATATTTTGTAAGCAACTCATTTTAACACGCCTGCTTGGTGTTGCTAACGCATTTCCCCTTTTAAGGCCATACGTTTTTCATTCTTCCATTTCTCTCAGTCCCGAGACAGATCTAGGTTTTCTGTCTCTTCATTACTCCTCTTTCTTATGGTGAAAGTTCACTAGATCGAGCATCGTAGTCTCTGATTCACGATCGTAATCTCTATCTGATTCTCCATCTTGGCTCAAAGCTCTCGATCAGTCCAATTTGAAGATTAATTCCGTGAGTCTTTCTCTGATTTTTTTTATTTTTTTTATATACAAACTCAGATCTGTATCTTCGATCTCAAATCTATTTATACTAATTTATGTTAAAAAGAACACAAATCGATCGATTGATTGATTTTTAGTCTATTGATCACGATCGAACACTCTCTCTGTGGATTTGGTCGATTGATTACTTTCGTTCAGATCCGTAAGTTTTAGTCCCTATGCGCATATTTACATCCTCAAACCTACTCTATTTCTAACTCGTTCGTGGTGATCTTTGCGTTTGTGCTTTGTATGCAATTCTACGGTTAGTCTATCGAGGCTAATCTCTATTGCGTTTGTGTACAGAGTCACAGAACCACCATCATAACCATACTATGTCAACCTTTGCATCAGCAATGTCTCTCTTCCTCACAATGGGTTTTGTGCACTGCAGACACCTGATTTCCACTCTGGTGAGTCTTCTTTGATTCCCTTCTTCCTTACCTTGCTTATGATCTGTCTGGCCCTGTAGTTTGTGCATTTGGGTTTTTCTGCTACTTTCAATAAATTGGTTTCCACTATTTCTTGTGTTCAATTATTCTTTTGCAAACATGGATTGATGGAAACCCTTTTTTCTCTCACCACTTTTCATGTATTGTTTCAAAGTTCTTGTAGGTATTTTACACGTACATAATCTAATTACAAAAGATTGTGTCCAATTTTGTGATTGAATTTTGTGCATTTAAAAATTTTTCAAGTTATTGCTTCTATACAAGGATTAATGCAGCAAACACTCTGTTTTAAACTAGCTTGGCAAGGATTAATGAATCTATCTCATTGCTCCATTTCTGTATATTTGATTACTTGATCAAATGATTATAAATGTGTTCACAATGAAGAATCAAATTTTAAAATGATCTAAATATAACATAAAACAATAAATATTTGTAAGTTAATTTTCTATACATTTGACAAAATCATGATTTGATTGATTGAAAATTTTGTTTGTATATTATTACATGGGGCCAAACTTGTCATTTGAAGAACAGTTGGAAGATATTTTGTTTGGAAAGAGGAAATATACGTGGTAATAGACTTTTCCGTGGAGAAAAATGAGTAGAGATGGAAAAAAAAGGCTGCATGTCTCACTTTCTTTCGTCCTTATTTTGTTTCTTTGAATTCAGTTGATGATAAGCAATTTCTTTGTTGTTCTATACTATAGAGACAAAATTCCCTATTTTGTTTCTTTGAATTCAGTTGATGATAAGCAATTTCTTTGTTGTTCTATACCATACAGACAAAATAAGGAAAGATTATTGAAGGTTCATTTCGTTTCCCACAAGAAATTGTTCCACTTCCAATAAAATCACTTGAAGTTCTACTACACTAGATAGCTCAATAAAATCTTCATGTACGCATTTTTTAATGGGTTTCAATTTTTCATATCCTTTGTTTATAGTGTGGTATGTTCCTGGTGTAGGTTATTGATGAAATAAATACATTGCACTATGTATTTGACTTATCAACTATTAACACTTGGTTCCTTTGGGCAGCCTTTGTTTTGAAACACCCTCTTGTTGCCAATGCTGTTTTTGTTTTGAAACACCCTCTCATTGAATGGCATTGAAGTTCTCTTGCACTTCTGCTTTTTTGCAGGAAGATTCTAAATTCTTTGTTTTCAATTGTTTAGAAGTTCAATGTGAGACAATTAACTTGTTTTATGAACATGTAGAGCTTATATTTTATTGATTAGTAATTTCTTAAGTTAATGGTTGTCTCCCTTAGGTTTCCTACAGGTGGCTAAGTCGTAATTTTTTGCTGCCATCAAATGTGTCAAAGTGGTAAGAGCTCGTATAAGAAGCAATCATGTAAATTATAATTTATGCGCATTTTCTTTTTGCTAATAAATGGTTATTGGTTTTGGATAGAGGTTGCTACAAGAATTTGTTGAAAAACATGGAAATGGGTTCGAAGTAGTATATACTTTGTCTGGATGGTTAAAGAATAATCCTTCAGTTTACCATATAAGGCTTGTTTCTGGGCCTAAACTTTCAGGTTAGAAATTTTATTAGAATGTCATGTTCATTCCATGATAATTAATTCTTATCCATGTGTTGTTATTATGTGTTCCTCTTCTGCAATGTCATTCTTACATATGTGCCTAAAACATTGGTCTTTCTGTTTCTTCTCACTTCTTTGACCCTCATTCTTAACCTTCATATTGTTAATATGGTGCTTTCAATTAGAACCACCACATCACTCATCACTTCCATCGGGTGTGGATGCCCTTAGAATAATTCAAATATTGTACACATTTGAAGATATAAGCCTTTAAAATTTTTAGTTACATGCAGTTTGAAGATATTAGATATGGACTAAAATGTTGCTGCTCTTTACTCAAAAGTATGATTGGGTAATATAAATTGTTCCTGTTTTACCGGGTTGTCTTTTGTCATTTAATTGAGGCTACCATGTACTGAAACTAACAGTTATCATTCTCTAATATCTGCCTGGTAGATATCCAAATGTATTTCTTTTCTTCTGAGAAATGTGAAAGATGAAGTTTTTCTTAATGAGTTTCCGTAGTTCTTAGTTGTGGATAATCCAGTTGCCAACAGCAGGGAAGAAATGTTAATTTGGACTTGTCTTGTCTCGAGTTATTTGCAAAATCCAAACAAGAATTTAATGGCAATTCCTCAGTTTAGGTGTATAGTGTGCAAGCTTGCATTCCAAAGGACCCAGCAGCACTTTGGAATGCTGAATTTGTGCAGGCAGAAGAACTCTTGAGGCAGCCTCTCACAATTGATAATTGCTTGCAAGATAACAGGTATAGTTCTTCTATTTTGAGTTCATCAATTTAGTGTAGGGTGTTGGGTTGGTGCTTTTTGATGATTATGTTGATGGCATGGCAATGGCTTTACATTTTTAGTGATGAGGACTGTTATTTCATGTAGAATATTTAAATGTTGCTCATTAATTTTTTTTTTTTGACGAAATTGATTATTGTTGGAGAGTTGTTATCAATATTATTTGTAGAAGAAAAAAAATATTAGAAGCATGTATCCAGTTCCTACAGTAAAATTATGTCAGAGAGGCAAATTTGGGCTTCTAAGGAGACTATGAAATCTTGAGCTGTGCATGTATCCTGTTCATACTTTATTAGGCCTCTACACTTGGTGATTGATTGCATATTTGGGTTACCGATATCACTGCCACTGAATTAAAATTTGTGGCAAGTGTGGATCTTGGTGGAGCTGCCCTACATGTCCATTAGTAAATCAAAAATCAATTTTCTCTAAGGCACGTTACGTATCAAGAACACCGAGATGTATATTAAACATATTTGTTTTCCTTAAATAACATTCCTCTCTCTCTCTGAATTTCTTTGTTTTCTTTAAGGGGATTGCTCTCCATTTGTGAAATCTAAGAAAATTAAAATGGTGTCATGCATTTCTTCCGTTTTCTTTTGGCTAATGAAAAATGAAATAACACCAAACAAAATGATCTATGAATTTCTTCTATTTTCATTTTTCAGACTTGAAAAAGCCTGTTGCTGTCATTGCAAGAAAGTTGCGAGTTGGGTCTTCTAGGAATGAGGTCAAAACCTTGACTTCGATCCTCACTGCTCGAAGTAAGGTTGTTAGTGTGGACTTCTCTCAATTTTAATTTCATCATCAATTCTTTCCCCTCTGTACATACTTTTTCTATTTGTATATGTATATTATTCCTTGTTACTTAGTAGACATTGATGCAGCAGATGTTGATAATGAATTGGCATTTGTGGAGTATGTTGAAGACATCTACAAGTTCTACAAGTTAACAGAGGTACTATTTTGGCCTTTATTTTTCTATCTTTTTACTTTCTCTATCTATCGACATGTTTTGCTCAATAATGGGAATTTATTATGGTAGGGTGAAAGTCGAGTTCACGATTACATGGATTCACAGCCTGAAATCAATTCAAAGATGAGATCAATTCTCATAGACTGGTTGACAGAGGTTCACAGGAAGTTTGAACTAATACCTGAGACCCTTTACCTCACAACTAACATAGTTGATCGGTACCTTTCAATGAATGTTGTCCCAAGGAGGGAGCTTCAGTTGGTCAACATTAGTTCAATGCTAATTGCTTGCAAGTATGAAGAAATTTGGGCACCAGAGGTAATTGGTGTTCTGTTTTCATCATTTAGAACCATGTCTGATCTAAAAATTGTTTGGTTTCACTGAAATTTGGGCACCATATTTGATTATATTAAATCTGGAACAAGCAAGGAATATACATGTTCTTATTAATGGTGATTTATGTCTTCAGGCTTTTGATAGAATTTATTGCTTTGTTCTAGATTTTCTTTAAAAAGATTATAATTTGCAACTATTATTTATTTATTTGTAGGACAAAAGGATAGTTTTGCTGAGGGCCAAAAGGATAATTTTGCTGAGGAAAAGAGCTGATTCAAGATGCAAGAGGAATTTGCAGCTTTTTTTTTTTTTTGTTCAACAGACCCAAAATTGAAATCTTGTTAGAATTTTTTTTTATTTTGTATTTAGTAAGAGCATTAAAATATCTAGATGTAAGAGGAATTTGCAGCTTATTTTGAATTTTTTTTCTATGTCGTGCTTTATGGTTTTGTGCAAATTGGAATGTGAATAAATAACCAGCTCAACAGCATATTTTATATTAATTAAATTATGAAATAAAAAAAAAGGTGGCATTTTTGTTCAAAACGTCACTATATCCTGTGATGTCATTAGTTATTATTTTGGTAGATTGCATATTATACCGACGCTTATGAAAACACTACTGTCAGTATCAGCAACGTTTTTAAAGCGCCTTATACCTATGGCGACGGCCGCGTCAGCGACGTAAAGTAAAAATGCGGGTATATCCTTTTGGCAACATTTTGCCACTTATAGCGGCATTTTTGAAGCACCGGTGAAAACAGTTTTTCTTGCAGTGAAAGCAATACACCTCAGGACCACGACATATGGCTGAGATAACAAACGGCGTGTCTATGGTTGACTGGCTTGAGATGATGTAATTAAGGCTTTGGCTGAGCGTGGTTTGCATTCAAACACCGGCACGATTTAGCTCGGCATCAATGAGATCAAAGTTAGTGCTTTTGATGCAATAAGTAATGGCTCGGTGGGGGCCTTCCATGTAGACCAATGGAAAGAAAAGAGGAATCTACTCTTCATATGAGTCAATATCGTTTGGTAGTTTAGCCAATGTTGTTTGGTAGTATGTATATAGGAAAGATAGGGCAGTAGAGCCAGTCGCCTAGGGAAGGACGGCAGATGTAGTGCACTACTTCTGGGCCTGCATGGCTAGCCTACAAAAGGAGTAAGCAAACTCTAGGAAGGTAAGCAACTATTAGCAACCCTCTCTCTCTATGGTGCCCTGTATTCTCTCTTCTTCTTCAAGAAAACTAACTTGGCCGTCGGAGGGATTTTTCGACAACCTACCCATTGGGTAGCTCACCCTTGTTTGTTCATAGTAAGACAGAGTTCTATTGGAGCAAGACGAGCTTGGTAGCAAGGAGTACGGAAGGCGACGAATATTTTTCCCCCGTACAATTATGATATTATTTTAGTTATAATTCAAGAGCTCTTTAGTTATATCTTATATGATGTTTGGTTAAAGTTCTTTTTTTTTTCTTTTTTCTTTTATAGTTATGACTCACATAAGATTGAGTTATAACATTTGTGGTAATCATTTTCACAAATATTATAAACTAGCACAAACACTCAATTATTAAAAAAAAACTAAATATATATCATAACTCACATTTTGTAAACACTTTTTTTAGGGTATGTACCATAGCATTACCCTTGGTTATGACTCATTATTTTTTTTAATTATGACTGAAAAAAATTTAGTTATGACAAATTTGATAATCAACACCACAAATATTATAACTTGCATACATATGTACCAAAGAATGACTCTTTTTTTATAGTGATTTTGATAGCAATGGATTGAATGGTGTTGTCCAATCCCGTAGGGCCTATCATCGGTTCTATTTTAATAATTTGAACTGTTTATCATTGTAGACGTCCCCGAACGCCCCGGGAGGGAAATCCCATTTTGTTCATATGGGCTCACTACAGTTCAGGACTCAAATGTTACGGTCCTGTATCTAATCTCGCAGAGTGCAATGCAAGACTGATGAATCATCAAAGAGTCCAAATCCGGCAAATCGCTTTTGAAAACAGATTTTTTTGAAAGAAGTGCCAAACATGGACTGCTTTGCCAAATACAGAGTCGCCACCTAAATATTTTATTTTGGGGAATTTAGGAAACCCTGACTCGTTTGCCTAAGGCCACGTGTCCGTCACCACCAAAGTTGCCTCGGCTCAGGAACTTGGGCACGATTGGGGAAGGTCACTTCGTGAGCACCCCTACTCACCCGATCAAAGATCGGCCTCTACTAACCATGATATCGAGTTTTGAAAACATTATGTGCTCTTATTCCAGTTATTAGCCTAGATTTACTACGTGATGCACACAGCATATAGATTGGATCGCCTAAATTGGAACAAAACACCTCATGTTTGCTTTTGAAACGGTTTGCTACTCGCAAGTAGGCTAAAATGTGAATTTGCCACCCTCAGGTGGGCTTAGAAAACAAGATGATTTGTCACTCTCAAGTGGACTTAAAACTCACAATCAATGCATTATTCCAATTCAGATAATCCAACCTTCACCCACAGGCATTCACGCAGGTATATCACGTAAGTAGTTAGCCTCATGGTAAACATGCTATCATGGCAGTCACTCACACGCATGCAAGGATGCTAAAGCATAAACACTTACCGAGTACTCCGAGCCAAAACAGAAACTAGTTAGTAATCAATGCATGATCCTAGTTCATGTTAAGATGGCTAATGCAACACATGCAAAATGTAACTAGAAATAAGCTCGGCTATCCTAAGAATGGCATATGAGATGCTACAGCTAACACGTGTTCAACTTGGAATTGGAATACAATGCAGTTAGTATGATGCGCCGAGCCCAGTGCATGCAATGCAGATGAATGATGCAAACATGCAAGCATAAGTATGCTAATTGAAACATGCCCTAATCTAACCATCATAAGCGGGTAAAAAGGGAGAAAGACGTGGGGTTGGAAAACATACATCACACATACACACACTTATTACAATTGTGCCATCGCTCGGAGGGTCCGAATAAATAATTAACTGCTCTAGCTAATTAAATATTACAAAACCCTAATTAATCAACAAATTAACTAGGAAAGCAAATAAATTAGCATGCAAGCTAAAAGGACCGCCTCAGCTCTGTTCCAAATGATGAAAGATGCATGCATGCTCGAGCCGTCTCATCGGGAAATTCCTAGCGATGCCTCGATTCGCCTCTGTTTGCAATTGATCCCGGAATGCTGTACAAAACTCCAGAAGGTTGTTGACCAGTTTTTCCTGTCAGTTTCCAGTTTGCTACAACAGAGAACAAGAAAGGGGCATGGCAAAGTATTTTCACATATGTATGCACGACCACTCTCCCTGTCATTGCACAAGCTCTAGAGAGTGTAAACCTCAATCCTCGTGCCACCAATCACGCATCTCGATGCATGATGGCTGAGGAGTTGAATTGCACGACTCAATATGAAATGAATGCACATATAAACACAACAAGGCCTAAACTCCATCATAGGTAATTCGGAGTGTCGGCGACTGAAAATTGAGACACGTTTCGCCACTTTGAGTACGAAACGCCCCTCGTTTCCCGTGTTTGCACTAACCCTACTCCAAACACAATGCAATGAGATGGCATACACAATGCGACTAACATGCAACCCTAAATGCAATGCAACCTAATCATGCTGGCATGCGAGGGATGATATGCACACATGCAACCTAGCATACGCAATGCTATGGACTAAAATGGCATACACAATGCACATGAGCTATATGGCATACACAATGCACACATACGAAGATGGACATATACAAAGGCATAATCAAAGCATACATAATGCGATGGTCAAACATGAAACAACATGAACCAAATGGCATACACAATGCAAGGTGGACTTAAACCAATATGAGTGGACCTCAGCCACACTCAAATCAGTGGCCATATGATGAAAATGAGACAACCGAAATACATGCAAACATGCACGAATGCAAAAAATTGATCCTAAGGCACAACATGCAACTCTAACAAAGCATGGCAAGGGATGAAATATGGCATAGAATGGCACATGATCCAGCTCTGGAATATGATGCACAATGGTCCCAAATCATGCAAACACTTCACACGATGCATGCTAGATGACCCGAATACCGAAACTAGTGAAGTGCGTTATATAGAGGTACACAAAGCAATGCACAAATGGAAAAACCAACCCCAAATAGACCCTAGGCAGGTCCAAGATAGTGGGAAATTGGTCTAAAATGATGGCTCGGAATGCATTCAAATGAAGCCCATGCAATGGTCGGTAAATGAGGCATACAAGCCCGACTCTCTAATGCACTTAAAGAGTGGAAATCATGGGAATATGGCATGCATATAAGCTCTGAAATATGATGTGCAATGGCCCCAAAACATGAAAACACCTTAGTATATGCATGCGATGGACCTCAAAACTCAAAGTTAAGCATGGATATTGAACTACAGGCATGCAAAACAAGCATCATTCGACTATGAGACCCAAAGACAGAGCTAAGGCAGTCTAAACATGCACACAATCAGTTTAAGGCAAGGCCAAAATATGCTAGGAAAGGCGTCCAAAACATCATGCAAAGCAAGCTAGTGAACCATGACTTACACTACAACTATATGAAGCATGTGAAGGACTACCAAACCAGCCCAAAATAGAAACATGGCATGACAAAATATGACCAAAAACCCACTGGAACTCAGTCAACACATGCTAGAATAAGGTGCTCCTTTGAAAGGCTATGCAAGGGGTTACTCTACACATGCAAGATGGACATTCAATATGACAAAACCACCTTTGGAAAAAGTTTATGAAGGCCCTAAAACTCACTAAAAAGGGCCTGAAATGAGGCTAGGAAGCATGCAAGTAAAGGCTCCTTTGAAAGGCCATGAAGAGGGTTACTCTACACATGCAAGAGGGACACCTAATATGGAAAAAAAAGCTCTAGACAGAGCTCATGCAAGTCCTAAAACTCATCAAAAATAGCCTGAATTATGGCTTGGAAACATGCAAATAGGGGCTCCTTTGTAAGGCCAACAAAGCTAGTAAACAAAACAAGGGGTGACCAAACAAGGGATGAGAGGGTCACCCCTCTCTGATTTTGAGGCTCAAAAACACATGTTAGCCACTAAAAATCTGCTAGATTTCAGTGGCTAAAAGGCCAAACCAATGCCAACACAAATGCTCTAATGCATCACTCAAAACAAGAGAAAATGAAGCATGCAAGGGGGTAGATGACCCCCAACAGAAAAATGGCCTTAAACAAACTTTAAGAGGAGCTAAAAATAATATTTTTTTCAGTTTATGACAAAGCCCAAATATGCTTTCAAACTAGGCTAAGATATGAAGCAAAACAATGCTAAAAATGAAGAAAATGAGAGTTACCCTTGTAGTCAAAAGAGCCAGCAGCTTCTGGACCAAAATAGTAAGCCTTCAACCTTTGAAAACCAGATCCAAGGTGCTTAGAGTTATGGTGGCGGTGTTAGGATAGGAGGTGTAGTGCAATGGGGCAAGAACAATGGAGCTTTGGAGCTTGGATGTAGAGAGATAGAGAGAGGTGTATGTATATGCCTTAGCCAAAATTTTTCAACCCTTGCAAGTAGAGAGGAGGGTCTCTCTTATAGAAGAAGAGGTCCAAGGCTTCTCTTAGAAGCTTGGAGCAAAAGGGCCAAGCTTCTTTTAGAAGCTAAA